CTAATTTCAATGCAATCCTTTCTTTAAAATCATCTTGTTTATCTTCATCTCTCGAAACCACAGATTAAAAACATAGAAGTTAGGTCAAAAAACATGTCGACCAAATATATATTTTTTTAAAGTTAAAAGACGTTTTGAATTGAAGTAAACATTTCAATTACTCGCATTATAGCCAACCATTTAGTTATTTATATTTTGTTCATTTCAAAGGCTCATACACAGTTAATCACCTTATACTTAGATGTAAAACATGTAAATAATGAAAAGGCCAATACAATTCAAGCATCGGCATATTAGAAATTCAAGTCCACATGCTATGAATTTTCTCCGGAGAAAAAAATACAATAAAGAAACACTCCAATTTTTCAAATACAAAACACATACATGTATTCTTGTAGTCCGAAATGTGATACAAAGAATATGTAGTTCACAAAAATCCAAAATCATATGTAGACTAAACAAGCTAAGTCACAAACATGTTTCGATTTTTTAATTTTGGTCAATTTTCGACCAAACTGTCTCATTTCTTTCTTTTTCAATACGTAGAAAGAACTTCCCTCTTCTTGCCCTTCATCTCCTTCGTTCATCAAGACTAAAAAACCTTTCGAGATCGAAATGGTATCCCCTTCCAAGCAAATTTTCCTTCATTTTCTCAAACCTAACCTAGTTCGCTCACTCGATTGTCTCCCCTTTTCTCCTATCTCACTTACCCACGTAAACCCAAAAAGCTTTCTCTCTTCCAGCGGTTGTGTCATACCCCAAAATTTAGTAGACATAAAAAGAAAATAACAAACAATAAGCAAAAACCCTCCGCCATCCGCTTTGTTGACGGGGAGAAGGTAAAACTTGAGAAACTTATAGTGGGCGGGGAAGGAAAAAGCTGGTGTATTTTTAATTTTTAGTCTAATTTTGACATTGAATTTCAAACCGAAATTGCATAGCACATTCAAGATCAAACACAACCCATCTTATAGAAGACAAAGAACAAAATGAAATAAGAGATTACCTACCCCTACTTCGCTATAACTTTGGATGAACTGCGATTTGGTGTAAGCTTCGCTGCTCAAAAACACCCAAACGAAGGATTCGAAGGATCTCTCTTAGCCCTTCAAGAAAGCTCGGATGGACGATGTCACGGACGAAGGCCAATTAACAAAGAAAAAGTAGGGATCTCTTATATTCGGACAACGGGGGCTCTTCCAAGACTCTTTCCAACTAGAAGAAAGCAACCAACAAAATTAAACGAGCGAAGGATTGCGGACTTTCCCGTTCCAGCTTACTGCGAATGGATGAAGAGGCGAGATCTATTTTTGGGTCTCGTTTTGTTATTATCGGAGAGTAGAGAAGCAAGGGGACAGTAGGGCAAGGGTAAAAACGTGAATGAAAAAAAAATTGTTAAGCATCACGATTTCCTCCCAGTTTCCTCCCAATTTTGGAAGAAAAATGAGTCCTACCAAAAAGACAATGTTTTTTTTTTCTTTCCACTCGCTTTCCTCCCTCTACCCAAACGATGGAAACTTTTTTTTCACCCTCATTTTCTTTTCTCTCCCCCACTTTCCTCCCTATCCAAACAAGGGGTTAATTAAGCTACAACAAAGGGAATAGTCCTAATAGAGTGATGAACTCTTGGTTTTTATTGTATGTAACGCAATAATTTTTATAATGAAGTAGCATGCTATTGTTGTTTGTAACACGGTGTTTTCTATACCAAAATTGCATTGATCATGTGTGAAGAATTATTAATTAAAGCAATTTAGAAATTTGATTGCTTGCTTAGAGGTTACATACTTACATCCAAGGAAAGAAAATTCTTATCCTTTAGTCCTTACTTTCCAAATGATTCCTAATGTAATTAACTTTTCAAATGACTAAATCTAAACAGAGATTACCAAATTGGATCATTCCTGCGTTAATGTTCCCTGGTTAACATAGGAGCTATCGACTCACAAAGTAGAATGGGTTGTAGATTTGTAGTTTACATGCAAGCGGGAAGACTTGCTCGTAGAAGGTAGTCAAGTGTCAACAAAGTTGCATTCCTTTTATGAGGCATTATTCCCTCAATCATGCTCTACTTAATTTTCCCAATTAAAATTTCACATTGTAGATGTAATAGTGAGTAGTATGTAGCCTCAAACTTCACCACTATGACGCATCCGTCACAAACACTACCACTACATTGCAGCCACAACCACAAATATTATAATAAAATGTAATTATATATATATAGCATTGGGCAAATACACTAACTCGTATATATGGATGATCGCCAAATTATTTTAAACTTACAAATAAGATAAAATATGTTTTCCGTAATATGAATACTAATAATAGCAAAGTTTTCTTACTTAGTCATCACCACAATCACACATCTACCACCATCTCCATTAAAAACTCGTCACAACAGTCCGATAGTAATCTCTACCTCATGCCTTTTCTCATCTTTCTTTTCTTGGTTGTTTTCACCAGCATCATTCCCTTCACTACAATTGCCGGTACAAGCAAGAAACATGCACAAAAAATTGTTGGAATCATAGTTTTAAATCACAAATGATTGAAAAAATGGTCATAGATCGAGGCTTAATGTAGTGGTAAAATAACGATAATGAGATGTTTCGAAACCATTATATAACAACCGGTACATAACGTCCTTAGCTAGTGAATTAGGCTTTACGAGTTCAGTGCACTAATTCCGGCTGTTGGAATGTATATGTGTACCTACAACCTATAGAATCATAAGTTTCCTGGTAATTTCGTCCTACGAAGAAATGGGATTCATCCTAAAATCCAAATGCCATAGTGCAATATCTGTGCTTTGTCTCTTTATGTTGTTTCCTTTTAGTTTGGCCCAAAAGGTCAGGTTTTTATAAGTGGATAATATAGCTGGTCATGACGATCTGATCGCATATTCTCAAAGAAAAGAAAGATCAATGAGATACTTAGTCAATGTAGTCTATTTTATAAAGTGTGAAAACTTGGGTTTTTGCTCCAGAGGATGCTGTTTTATTAATCTTATCAATTGCATTTGATAATGACAGGGAAAAAGTTGTTCTGTCCCTGTGCACAATTTGTTGCTATTAATGCATATGCACGACATACTTGCCTTTTTCATTCGAAACGATCGAGGATCATATAATTGTGTTGGGTTTTTTCTTTTTTTCATATTAGTTTTCTAACGGATCAGATGCTCCAAATGGTTGTCAAAAGATCAAAGCACAGTACTTAATTAATCCCATTCGATCATAAATGCTCTAGGTTAGCAGACGGTGGCTTTTGATCGATTCTGGATCTAGATCACTGTCACAGAGAAGACTAGAGCACTAGAGATCAGGCTATTGAGGGAAAACTTTTTATGCGAAGAAACAAGACAGGCGAGGCTCCATTATCCAAATCAACCATGTTCTACTTGCCTTGTGCATTTTAATTCCATATTGTCATTTTTTACCAGATAGAAATGAATAAAGGACATATATGACTGAATCATCAGATAAATGTTAAAGATTTATTTTGCCTCACTGGTTGGCATATATTTGTTGACTGCAGGAAGGAGTGAAGAAATTTGGAACTAAAGGAAACAAAAATCTTCCATGGATGAAAATTTTGGAGTTTGGTCATAAGGTTTTTTGTTCAACTCGAACTCCCATTGATCTCAAGGATAAGTGGAGGAACATTATAGCAAAAGAGTAAGTTGATAGATACGCAAATGGATGTGGTTGCACACATGCATGCAGTTTCTGTTATCCAAGTCTCTTTCAACAAGAGAAATTGGTCTCTAGTCGCTGTAAATTTATGACAGTGATAGGAGTGAATGTTGGTTAGTGTTTTCAAATCGGTTGCATCTGGTGATTTTGTGGGTCAGTTTCTTTGAATTTCTTAATTCACACTGTTTTTTATGTTACATTGTGCTTATCATCTTAATCTAATGTTTTTTAGTCTATTGTTAACAGTAGAAATTAACTTGTCTACATATATTTTCATTTCTACTCTCCCTTCACTGTCAAAATTTCCCATAGCCTTTTTGAAATTCTCTCTGGTGTTCTTTCTCAGTCTCGGGAATCTTTCTATATCTAAAATAATTGTGCCGAACTATTCTTCTCAGAGCAAAGAACTGAGTGGCTAGCTTTTTGGATGCATGCTTTGCAAGGAACGAAACCAACCAATGTACCTGGCTTGCACTTGTAAGCAATGAAGGGTAAATGGAGAGTGTGGTGTTGGTGTAGTGGAGCCTTTACTTTTTCAACTTTTGCTGCTTTGATGAGGATGTAAATTTTTTAATTTACCACCACTGTATGATGCTTGTTTTGTGGCTAGGGCATGCTTTGTATTAGCAACATCGGTAGGCTGGCTGAGCTTGTGTACATCAATTGCCAGATGACCATATAATATTTTGGATCGTGAATGAATATTTTATTACACTGTTTGAGAAATTAAGGTGGATAATTTATCTGCGGTTCCAAGATTTTGAAACATGTATGTACCGTCAAAAGCTGCGAACTTGTAGGATGTTTTTCTGTTTTGCACATTTTACCCATATTATCCAAAAATTATGCAATGATTTCATCAGTTTAAACCCGATGGAATTGGATTTGTCCTTTACTTATAGGGTTACCTATTTCTTTTTATGTTTAATACTCGGTTAAGTGTCATTAAACCAGCAGGACAATTAGACCTGGTATGGGTTCTCAAAGTTACTTCCCGTCTTGCCTGGGCAATTGAGTTAAAAAATAAAGATTAAAACTAAAGAGGTTTCGAACTTTTTTTTTTGGATCAACTAGAGGATTGAATATGCAAATGCCATTTTCTTAGGTGTGTATTTACACTCCTACATCTAAGATTGAGTAGTCAAAATTAGAAGTATCATAGGATGCGGCCGTCTTGTAAGAAATTGTGAACACAAGTATTACATATTGTCTGGAAATTGGTGTCCTTTGCACGTCTAGAATTACCCGTCAAATAATCAAATTTATGCTTTGAACTCACTAGAATCTGTAGCTAACTGTGAGATGGATAAAAAGTCAATGAGGGATAGAGGCAAGAAGTTGACGCAATATAGAAAATCCAAAGTAAGATCTGCGAAAGTGCCTCCAAGGTCAGCAAAGTAAGGTTGCTTAATTTCTTGTAAGTATTTCCCACGTTCAAGTCTTCTACGATTAATTTTCTATTAATTGTTGAGGAGACTTGGTCGATCTAGTAATTTATAAAGCTTGTATATATTTTTGACGTTTTTTTCTTGTTGCATTCAGCTAAATATCTAAAACGAATGGACCCCTAGATCATTCGTAATAGCCTTTTTGGTATTTATCAACAAGTTACGAGTTCAAAATCTTAACATTAATAAAATTTGTTTATGCCCATGTAAAAGATGACAAAAATTTAACTCGGTAGTGTACTCATCCTTGTTGTGGTATTCATATTAATCTTATATGATCATGATATTAAACTCGGGTTTTTTTGTCTCTTCTGACACTAACAACTAGCCACTAATTTATGTGACTTGTTAAGGAAATAAAAGAAAAGAATTCATGGTCCACAATGAGAAAAAATCAAGATTGTTTTCATCGATGACTGGTATTTTCCTATGTAAAATCTCTCAGAGGATGACTCAGTCGAATGAGCGTGTTTGACAGGAAACACGGTTCAAACTCCAAACAGGAAGCCAAGACTCATCATAAGTAACAGGTCGAAAATGTACAATTCTACATACCCACCAAACACTATAGAGAGTGTGCCAAAATGCTGAGGCTTCTTGGGATTGCTGCTTTCAGTGCTTTGCTTGCGGCATATGTTTTACTGTTGTGTTCTTCTTGCTTTCCGTTGACAGAAGCAAGAATTTCAAGTTTCTCAGCTATCCAAGGTGTGATAAGTAATTAATGCCTTGGTTATTTTTATTTATTTGATAAGTACATATATGCTACTTCTCTCCACTCTCTTCATATATTTTTTCTTTTGATAATGAGGTAATAATCTATAGTTTCTTGAATGTGCTTTGTAGAAGAAAAAAACCCAGAATTTGCCTGTACCTCTGCCTTTCTCTAATAGTTTTCTTTTAAATGACAGAGACTATTCTACTGCATCGGAGTGCAAGGCAAATGCCTGCTCAAATCTTTTCTCCCAGAGTAGCTCCACAAATTGGACAGCATGGATAAAGGGTACCGTACGGAGAGTAGAGAAGATGCAGCTAGCCAGCAATATACAAGTCTCCTCCCAGGATAATATATACTAATTAAGCAATATATAATTGTACTTACCTTTCTTTTAAGCAATATATAATTGTATGAATTTCTATTAGAATTATAGACCCTGAAAAATGATGAAGTCAAGTCAGTTCCTTAATTAAATGCCAAATTAAGCTGAAGAATATAATTGGAAATCATTAGAATACAGGCTCTCGTGTACAACCTTACAGCAGAAGGACTTTTTTTATTCAATGTGATTTTTCCAACGTCTATAAATCTTTGACGTAAAGATCACCATATGCTTCTTCTTAAATCTGTTCCATTAAATGAACTTCAGACGCAACAGATACAGAATGGCCACGCAATAATATAAAGAAATGGAAATTAAGGTTTTTTGGCTAGCTCTTTCAAATGTCCGGTAACAATATATATATATCATTGACCAGAAAATAAGTCAAAAAAAAAAAGATGTTTCAGTTTCACCAATGGCTTCCAGCAATATTAAATGTACTTTCGTTGTTACAATATATAAGTCTAAAAACATGTTTTTGACACTGCAAGTACCAGCTAGCTAGCGCTAGCCTGTAATGGAGTTCCACTCAACTCGAAAGAAATTAAAAAAGAAAAAGGGAATTGTTTGAATTTGGAATTTGAAAACCAAATTATGACCTTCTTCTGATCAAACCCACAACGTTGCTTATTTAAAACACTGATTGTCGAAGTTGTTGAATAGTAAAAAGTTCATTTCAATGTGGAGGTTCCTCAAAAATTCCATTGCCTGTGCTTTGCTTGTAGCCTTCATGGTATTGTCTATGAGTTCAAGGCCTCTCTCTGTTCATAGAAGCAAGAATTGCCGAGTTCAGAGACATTCAAGGTCCAAATCTTTATCATATTACGTGTCTTTTGTCAGCTATGTAATTATAAACTGCATGTGATGATAGATAGTACTGTGCCTCCTACGGGTGGTTTTTGGCAAATGCCAACAAATATAACGGGAAATTCCTAGAGTAATTCATTGCTTCTTTTTTTTTTTTTTTTTTAATTTGTCTTTGATTCCCATTGACAGAATGTCTATTTTCTCGTATTCGAAGTCTGCGTCCAATTCCAATCCTCATTAATCCAACATCTCCAATACCAAATCCGCTACATAGGAACGATCATCGACATGGTTAGAGATATAGGAAGTGAAGATGATGTATTTAACGGATTATACAGATCTGATATATTATCTAAGATTATAAGCCAAATCAATAGAATTTTTATACATTATTATTTTTATTTTGTGATGAATGTATTATTAATTATTTTATTTCATAATTATTATGAATGTATATTGTGAAAAAATTCACATTTTAAATAATAATTATATTGGTTTGATCTATAATCTTATATTAATAATTGCTAGACCAGATTGGAATGATTACTTTTCATATTGAACTACTACAAGTCCCAAAATTCTTGTAGCCAAGATATCTTTTTTTTTTTTTTTGATTGAACCAATAAAATCTAAAATTTTATCCTTTCTATTTTATAACTAGCAATTGGCAAGCCAACAATTAAATACTTGCCATTTTCCAACCAAGATCATCTGGAGTAGAGAATCTAAAAGCCAATAAGTTAATCTTAGTGTTCTTTACATCTATCTTTCCAGTATTTGCACCAGTAAAACTAATGAGTACGTAGTTCATCAAGAATGCTTATATGTGATATGTGCACATCAAATGATCATCATGTGTCTATCTATCTATGTGATACAAAGTCGCATATCTATCCAACTTTGCAGGTATGCTTTGTTTTCAAATAAGAAGAGAAAAATAGGGTAGATTTTGGGTGGGTACATAGTTCGATTAATTCAAAGGGTGCTTGGACAAAATCAGTTTCTGCTTCTAAGTGATGGGTCTATGGGAAGTTATCATAGCCATTGAAAAATGAAAACACTTTTTTGGGCTAGTCTTGGAATGGCGTTTTCTTGGGGTTCATTCCACAGACTCTAATGTAACAGGGCTTTGTGCCCTTCAACTTGCTCATTGGGGGGTTCATTCCACAGACTCTAATGTAACAGGGCTTTGTGCCATTGAACTTGCTCATTGGGCTACTAATGGAAGGTTGTTCTATCTATCCCTGAAATTAATAATAGTAATATATTTCCCAATCACCCTTTTCCATCCTACCTCCTCTTTTCTTTTTCCTAACTTTTTTTAAAATTAAAAAAAAAAAGATAATTCGAGAAAGGACATAGAATTAATGGAAAGAGTATCAATTATAAATGGATTTCAAAAATAAATAAATAAATCATACGGGAAAAAAAAGAATATCAATGAACATATCAAAGCTTATAACTAGAGTTAATTTAGACTTTTGAACAAAAACGAAGCTTCATTATACTTAATATATATTTCATGAATTCAAAGTATATAATCTATGTTTTTAATATTGAAAAAATATCTATGAAAAAATAGTATTTTCTGACATTTAATAAAAACATTATATACTTTTCCACAACAATGCATTGGGCAACAAATTGATCACATTCTATTTATCCGTAAATACCAATAAAAATATAAACTCGGTATTGTACTGCTTGATTTATGGGAAATACACCTAATCCATTTTATTAATTTATTTATTTTTACTTTGTATGCTTATATATAGTTAACCTTTATAAAACCTTAAATAACACAAAATGAACTTTCATGTCGTCTAACCTATATAGAAAACGTTATTGTATTGGTACTTTGTTTTAATTTTCAAAACTCTAAAGATGCTTAAAATAAGCTTATAGGATTTTCCCCATGTTTAAATCCTGTATTTTTCAAAAAAAAAAAAAAAAGAGATTATTATTATTTTTTAATTGAGATATCTTATTTATATTGCTTCAAATCCTCTTTCATAATGTCATCATTCATATGATCGATATGTGGCATTGTAGTGTAAAAATTATCGAATAAGTGTTGATTAGTGATTGGTGTCATTATACGGAAGGGTCCGCAACAAGAAATGTCAAAAAAAATAAATAAATAAATAAAAGGTTTCAATCAAGCAAAAAAAAAAAAAAAACAAACAAACAAACAAACAAACAAAAGAAAAACAAAAATAGAAGGTTTCAATAAAAAAATTCAAAGAGTACGAGTTCATATCTAAAAGGTTTATTGTACTATAAAATCATAAATTTTACACCTTTTAATCATTTTGATACGTTATTTCAAAAATGAATGAAAAATACATGAACTAAATTTTTGATAACTTTATTAGAACGGGAGGTATTTTCCATCCGGAATTTTGAGTTCATATGATGTGACATGATATGTAAGATGCCACCATGGATTACGATCCACATAAGATGAAACGTAGCTAAAAAATTAAAATTGAGGTCGTTCGGACGCATGACACCCACCTTCATTTGTTATAAAAAATCGATAAGATTGTGTGGAATATTCAACAAAATCAATTGAAAAAGAAGTGATTATTCTTATTATTATTAAAATTATGATTATGATTATTTATAGAATACACCATTGTGCACTAAAACAACGTAGAAACTTAAAATCCATAATAGTTGAAGATTCAAACCCATGAACGCTTTCCTCATCCTTCTTGCTCTTTTATCATCCAAATATTTAGTCAATTTTTAAGATGAAATTAAGAAAAAGCAAAACCAAATCAATCTCACACCACCATCACCATGAAAAACAACCACCACCACCATCAATACAAGAATGCGATCAATTGTCTTTCTCAAGCCATGATTGGTGCCCTTACCGTATGCCAAAAATCCTTAGATCCGCATATTTGAGTTTTCACTAGAGAGGGGATGGAACTGATGGGCAATTGTTTTTGGATTTAATTCAAGCTTGAACTTAAGTATTAGAAATATGGGAGATGAGAAAAGACAATGGATTGAATAGGTTCGAGGAAGATGGTGGGGCAAAATGGGATTGATTTTTAGAGAGGGAAACAAGATTGGGTGATCAAAGTAAAGAAAAAGTTTTATAGTTGAAATTAAGATTTGAGTTTAGCTCAAAGTACTCTTCCAATTATGCGTCATATATAAATTCTTCAAATTGTTCAAGTTTCTATCAAGCAACTATGGTTGTTTTCTATTTCCATAGCAATCTAGTAATATTGTTCTTTTATTACAAAAACATAAAATAAAATTTTATTGATTTTACTATTTGATTTGAGTTTGTATTGTAAAGAATTTGTTTTTGAAATCAAATGAAGATTAGTAGACAACAAGTCATCCAAATAGTTTCAATTTTAATTTTTTTTGTCACGTATCATTCTATGTGAATTGTAATCTATAATGAAATCCTACATGTCATACCACGTCATATGAATTCGAAATTTTGGATAAAAAACACTTTTCATGCTAATATAGTTATCAAAAGTTTAGTTCATATATTTTCTATATATTTTCTAAAGAATGTGTTAAAATGATTAAAAGGTGTAAAATTATAGATTTTATGGCACAATAAACATATCTAAAATGGTTAAATAACATTAAATTCATGAAATGTTGATGGATGTATATTGTTATTTAAGGCAGTGGAAACTTGAATTTGGTATGAAAACTGACAAATTTATTGGTCTTTGGCCAGCAAACGTGAATGCAACAATAAGTCAAACTTGGAATATTACAGATAAGAAAACATGGAAGTTTTATTAAGAAGCTTAAAAATTAAAAAAAAAAAAAAGCAGCTTTAAAATTGAAATTAACTAAAGCCTGTAGTTTTGGTGGTTAATTAAGTATGATTAGAGGGAAAAAAAAACAATTTCACTTTAGATCTATCTCAAAACAAGAAAAATATATAGAAAAAAAATGAATAAAGAAAAAGCTTTAGCTGTTTGAGTGAGAGAGATTAGCGAGAGAGATGAGTTTGCAGGTTTGGTGGATAATTAGGTATGATAAGAGGGGAAAAAAAAAAAGACAATAGTATTTATAGTGGTATCAATCTAGTATTGATTAAAACCTAAGGATATTTCTGAGATAAAAGACATTAGCGTCTTTTTCTTTTCATTCCTACATGTTCTTTCCCTTTCAAACTCGCCTTTCTACCTTTCTAACAGTAACAAAATCTCGAAAAAAAAAATTATTTCTATTCCCATGTCATTTCAAGTTACCAACAATAAAAAATAAAATATTATTTTAAATATTTTGTTCGTAATTATCAAACAGCATTTTAGAAAAGGATAAGCATGAAAACATGAAATCTAAACTTGGAATATCAATACGTGAAACCGCGGAAATTAAGAAGAAGTTTCCTTTCTTCAACCAATTGGAAGCCAGGGCCCTTCATTGCTCTTCTATCCATGCAAATGCAATGCTAAATATAATGATTAATTAGCCACCTCAAACTGAGAGCTTGACTTGGACAATTTTTTTTTTTTAAATACTCTAGTCCTTACCAATCAAATCATCAAGAAGTTTGACTAGCTAGATTATATATTAGTCTAGTTCACATGCATGATCTATTTGGAAGAAAAAAGAGTAAAAAATGGAGAGGTTTTTGAAGATCTGTGCTTTACTTGTGGTCTCCATCATGTTAGTGATGAACTCAAGCTGTCTCTTGGCAGAAGCAAAAACTTCCAACTTCTTAGTTGCTCAAGGTGAATATCCCTCTCTTCATCACTTCAAATTTTGGCTAGCTTCTCGTGCAGTGCTTTTTTAACTTTGTAGCAGTGATCTCCATTATCTAATTCATCTCTACAAATTGCAACGAAAGAAGCAAACATCTACCTTGCCCTGCCGATCTCTGTCTGTTACAAATACAACACGAAATTGACACATACAATTTTTCTTTTTCCTTGGTTGCTTGCCTTTTTCCCACTTGCCGTTTTCCCCAAGGTGTTTAATGAATTTTCCTTGGCTTATCCAAAAAAATGTTTGCTTTTATTCGTCAAAAAATTATATATAATTCAGATCTTTTTTTTTCTTGCCTGGTTAATTAATTATTAGCCCTTGTAATAAAAGTTTATAGGATCTTAAATCTTAATTGTAAATTAATTATTCTTCTGAATAAGCCAAACATTGAAAAAAAATATTAATCTTAGTTTGATGCACAATTTATCCTAAATACATCCTTTACAACATAATAAAAAAACAATCTTAGTCTTTACAATATAATAAAAAACAATCTTAGTTATATATACCATAAGTTCAATTAATACTTAAATATAGTCCTCTTTGGGCACTCCCAGATACCAATATATATATATATATAAAGAAGAAATCGCTAATAATGAAGCTTGTTAATTATGCATGTAATTCGATCCCTTTTTCTAATTGTAACATATTTCATTGGATGAGCATATGTAAATATGTCTTTGTTTCGATCGGAATTGTCATTGACAGGAAGTCCAGTTCATCAACGTCGAAGTCTGCGGCCAACTGCCATTCAGCCAGGATCACCTATGACAAATCCGCAGCGTAAAACTGTCGCACCAACTCCACCGCCGATTGATTAAAAGAAGTTTCAGAAGCTGAGGGTGTTCAGCTCGGTCTGCACATGTTTCAGTTGAATATTGCACGGCAAACATTATTATTATTATTACCATAAAAAGCAACCGGGCTGGAAGTTTCAACCCGGTTATAATGTAATTCACACTCTTTCCTGATGTAATTGGTCGAAGAAAATCTCAAAAAAAGATTACAACCTTTGTATGTTCACCAACCCGAGAGAGTATTTTTTTATGGCATCCCTTACATGGACATTTGACTGTTCTGAATACCCACCTTGAAATTTTAATATTTTTCAATTAAGTTTGTAAAAGCAATTATTCGTAATTTGGGAACTGTAATTCTTTCTCTCTTCGACTTATCAAACTCTAAAACGTTCATTGCTCAATGTAAAACTCATCTAAATTGAATCGTATGAACAATGAAATTAATAACATACTCTTTAAATAGATTAACATTGTGCCTAACTCACTACAAGAAAATCGACGGATTTTATTCCGTCTCTAAATAGAGACAAATTAACAATAGATTAGCGATGAAATTGAAAAAGGAAATTTTTGTGACTATTTAGCAAGAGAAATTCAACAACGGAATTAAAACCATTGCTAAATAACATGATAAAAAAAAACATGACATTCGGCGACGGAATAATGACGAACTTTCAATGATTTAGCGATGGAAAGCAATTCGTTGTCCGTCGCTAAATAACAAGCTCTTGGGGATTCTAAAGGTTAAATTTGAAATTCAAATTAGCAATAGAATAGGATTCGTCGCTGATTTGAATTTTGAATAGCGACAGATCATCAAATCTATCGCTAATTGGGCAATTTTCTCAAAATTTTTCCGGACTTCAATGCATGTTTGGAATTCAAATTAGCGACAAACACTTATTTTCTTCGTTAAAATACGTCCGTCGCTAAAAAAATCCTATAACTAGACAATTTCTCTTCTTCATTTGGCTTTTTCCCTCTCCTTCATAAAATGCAGCCACCACCCCCAAATTGCCCCCCCCCACGCAGCCCCCATGCCAACCACTGCCTCCCTAGACCTTTTAACTCGGTGAGACGCATCTTTTGCCCCCAAACTCCAACGTAGTCTTTCCTTTCTCTCGTAAGTCTCTTTGGTAATTCTTTCTCTCTCTAACTCTTTTTTTACTTAAATTAATGTTATAAGTTTTTATATTAATTTTGTTATTTGTTAGTTGATTAATTGTTTGTTTAATTTTGTTATTTATTAGTTTAATTTTTTTAATAATTGTTTGAATGTTGTTAATTTTTATTGTTAGGTTAATTTTTAATTATGTTAATTTGTATGCTAATTATTATTGTAAATTTTTTAATTAATTATTTAATTTTGTTAATTATTAGACTAATTTTGTTACATGTTACTTTTTAATTATGTTAATTTTTAGGTTAAATTTTATGTTAATTTTCACCTAGCAAATTTTAATTATGTTAATTTCTAGATTAAATTTTATTTATATAATTTTTTTATATAATTTAGTTAAGGTTGATTAATTTTTAAGTTATTTGTTATTAATTTTTAGGTTATAATTTAGTTATTTAATTGCTAATTTTTATTTTAAATTTTTAAATTAATTAATTATTTATTTTTATTAATTATTAGTTGAATTTTAATTGTTAATGGTTCGTTTTAAGTTAATTTTTAATTATATAATTTTTTAGGTAATTTAGTTAAATTTTGTTGATTATTTGTTAAGTTATTTTTTATTAATTGGTTGGTTAAATTTTTTTTAATTTATTGTTAATTTGTTATATTGTTTTTTTTAATTAGTTATTACATTAATATTTTTAATTTGTTTGTTGCTATTTTTAAATTTATATAATATTTAAATTCGGAGTAATGCAATTAGTTAACATTGGTAAGTGTTTTTTCAATTTAAAATTTCATATATGGAAAGATAATCTAAATTTTATTTTAATCTTATAATGATTTCATTATTTTAATTACACGAGAGCGTATTGAAAAGCTCATCCAGGAGACAATTGTGATGCAACGAGTGGAAGGAATCTTAGAGCCGAAGTTGACATGAATACCATATATCTCGAGACTATCGAGGAGAAAAAGAAAAGGGTATATGGTGTAGGCACACGGGCGATACATTACCTATCCCGGTCGAGTGGCGGCAGCTTCTCATCTGCGTCATCGCAATACACCATCGACCCCGTTAATGACGAGCTTTAAAAGGACTATGAGGCGATGAAAGAGATGCAAGTCAAACAAGACAAGCTTCAAAACCCGGTTACGAAGCGACAGAACACCATACATAGGCTTAGCTCTCAATACGAGACGATGGCCTCTTTGGTGATGAGGCCGGCACGGATAATCGAGTTGCTTATAGATCCGTCTACCGGTTAGAACTTTACCGCTCCTCCTACTCGGCCTCCCATCGAGTCCTCTAGCAAGTGTGGAGATGAGGATAGGGGATTAGACGAGCGAGGATGAGTGATAACACATTTTGTTACTTTGTTTTTTATCATACATACTACCGAATGTTGTTGTTGTTAACATTGATTTCTATTTAATTTATGCATATTACTTGTAATTGTTAATTATTACATACAATATTAATAATTTAAAAACAAAAAAAAAACAAATTGTAAAAAATATTTAATTTTTTTTGTAAAAAAATAATTAGAGACGGAAGAGTAACAAATTGCTGAAAAAAATCCTTACTTATAGTGACGGATATCGAAAATAATTAGCGATGAAATAGAGATAGTTTAGTGACAACCCCACTTAGCTTTGGATATTAGTGATGGCATGTCAATCATTAATTAACGACAACCGTAGTGATGGATTAGCGACGTCGGACATAACGGGTCTCGTGACTAGATTTTTAAAGTATAACGATGGAATTCCATCATAAATATAGCAATGAAAAGTATTTTTCGATCGCTAATTTTAGCAATAAGCATTTTAGCGATGAACGGATTTTTCGTCGCTAAGGTAATTCAGCGATGAATTTTAGCTCATTAGCGACGAAATAATTCATCGCTCATTGTGCATTTTTTTGTTGTGACTATATTTTTGAAACATAAATGATCCTTTAATTGTATACAATTTAATGATATTTAAGCCAAACCATTAGAAAAGGAAAGAAAAAACATAGAAACTCTATAAATATTGAAAATTCTAGTTGTTTATTTATTTATTTTAATTTCTTTCTATTGTAGTTAAGCAAATATATTAATGCTATTGTTCATTCTCACCAACATAATAAAAAGAAAACTGAATTGGATGTTGCAACTTTGTGTATGACTTTCTTCTTGATTGTGAAATTAATACTTACCTTTTAGGTTGTAGTAATCGGTTAAGGAAACTATCAAATTTTTTATAGAACCTTTCGACTTGACTAGAAATAAAAATGTTTTTCATTTTTCATTATTTATTTTTTTTTTTTCAATTTTTGTTGAATAAAAAGATGTATTCATTTCTTATATATAGTTTAAAAATGTTTTCCAAAACAGAAAAATAAAAGTGTCCTTTTGACGAGTGGTAAGACTACAAAAACATATGACGACCATCTACTCCCGACATGGTCACCAAACTTCATTAACCTTCTCCACCACACATGCTTACTCGGTTTATAAATGATAATGCTCGGATGACAATACAAAGAAACAAAAAGAACTAGGATCAGCTTCGTTCATTTATTGTGGCTTTAGAGACAAAATCTTATTCACGATGACTCATGTGTACTCGTTTAGAGTTTTTTTTTTTTTCATCTCACTTGTTCATGAATCATGTGACATATGTGTGTTGCTTGATTTCTACCCCCTAATTTCTCTTTTGTCATTTCCTTTTTTTATTGATTTATCTCTTGGCCCTCGAAGGCATATCTTTTGTTTCTCTTCAATCTCCTTTTTTGTCCGATTTTGATCATTTCATTCCTTCATCAGTCGGCCTTTCTCATTTAATTTTCTTTTCACATGAGCATTTAATGCTCTAACATCCATTGCTTTTTTGCCCCGATTTTGGTGAGCAGTTTGGTATTCAAAAGTAAATTATAAATAAGTCCATTTCTCTTTGAGAACGAATTAATCAATCCTTTTGGTTCAAAAACTAATTTTTTTTTTATCTTTTTTGATATTTTTCAATTTATTTTGATTTTTTTAAGAAATAAAAAATAAGTGAAAATATGAACATATTGATGAGAATAAAATACGTTATATAAAAAAAATAGTTGCGATCAACAATAGTTTGAAAATATTAAGTAATTAGTTTTTTAAACTAAAAGGACTAATTAATTCATTTCTCGAAATGAGATGGACTAATTTATAATTTATTTTCTAATTTAAGGATCTCTTTCATCTTTTTTTGCAATTGATTTTTTTTTTAAACAAATACCATACTCGTTATATATCATTACTCTTAAAATTCTAATAAATGACCAATGGAAACTTGATGTGTTATTTCAAGGTTGTGTTGGCATAGATATTTCTTAGCAATCATGATATAATCACAAATTATACAATAAAAAAAAATAGAAGGCAAACAAGTTTTTTTTTTCAATAATTTAATTAATTTTTTAATTATTGATTTGAGATAAAAAAATTATAGAAGATTGAATGTTATTTTTTGTGTTTCCTACGTATCTTGACGATGATGAAATATATATGATTTTTAAACGAGATTAACGTAATTGCACACACACACACATATAGGAAAAAGTGTGTTTTAGATAATCCGACTCAATTTTTTTTAAAAAAATATTTAAATAATTAATTAAAAATTTATAATTCATGGATTTTAACTTTTTATATATATAATCAAAATTTATTGAAACCAATGTTGTAGTAGTTTTTATTTCAATCTATTGACTTCAATATATTCCATTCAATTTAGATGAGCTTTTTTATATTTTTATATTTATAATATATATATTTTGAATCTACTAAGTATGATCGTAATGTGTGTGTGTGTGCGTGTGTTTGATTCAATAGTTTTGTTAGAAATTAATTATCTATCTACACACATAACATCAATTATTTGTTATTTATTATTTTTCATGTTCTAAAATAAATATTTTTTAAATAAAAAAATTAAAATAATGTTTTGAAAGAACATTTCAATTATTCAAATACAATTTTTTATATTAATTGATTAATTTGTTAGCAAATACATATAAATAAAATGATTTAGCTTAACAAATAGATTCGATTCATATTAATCACCAAAAATAAGAATTTTACTCGCGCTATACCTTACGAATTGTTGACCTTACGCATATAACGAGTTGTCTTATCGTAGCATAATGTGGATATCCAACTAGTCAAGAACCCAAAGAGTTGGACTCCACTAGGTTGATGACTCCATACCGAAAGTTTTTATTTTAAAGAGTATTTTTTTTATTACTATTATTAATGTAAGGAGAAATTTTTGAAAAATTATATTAAAACTATCATGTATTGCATGTTTGATTACAAAATTTTTAGAGAAATAATTAACAAGGAAGTATATTAGAGAATATGAATAAACTAAATTTACAAGTGGATAGAACCCAAGATGGTTTGCTTGAACGAAAAGAGCTCCATTTGCTTAAGCATGTAGTTTTGATTTTGAGTTTTTATGTATGTATAAAACTCTTTAGATAGTTATGTTCGTTTTAAGTGTCCGATTGAACAACGAGAGATTAATGTAGGCTTTGGACCTAAGGTATCTTGGGTTTCATCACCCTATTTTTACCCTCATAAAAATACAAAAAAATAAAAAAAGAAAGAAAAAAACAAAAAACAAAAAGAAGAGGTTGGGCTGCATACTAGGACTAGACGCCAAATTGGTAGGTCAGTCCAATCCAATGCCTATTAAAACAAAAAAAAAATATCCTAAACTGACCTATATAGCATTATAAATAGATACTTTAGATATATATATATATAAATTTGGATATATTGCTATATAGGTTTTATGTGACCAAAGTAGGTTTTTGACTAGTAGGTTTTAGCCGTAAGTCAAATTGTTTTTTACCCTATTTAATTTGGGATGTAATTGGAAAAAATCAAATTTAAAGTTCTTAACTTTAATGGATAGATTCAAGATACTTTAGATTTGGATATATTGTTGTTTATGTGTGCCAAAATTTAATTTTTATAGGGTATGAATTTGTTAGTTTTTAAGTTTTAATCTATTATTATCATTGTTTTTGCTTTTATTTTTCTTCTTATTATTTTTAATAAAAAGAAGTTATTTGACATATTATATGGTATCTTTATTTTATATATAATAAGTTCCCGAGGAACTATCGATCGATGATGAAGCTAGCAATAAGCTAGCAAATTTTTGTTTTGGAAAATTAAAATAAGTCAAATCTGAATTAATTGATTAAGGACCTTATGAAAGCTTGTTGGCTATTTTATTTTCCTAAGTGTCGTCTTACGTGATTTGTGGCTTTTACGTATTGATATGTCTTTGCACTTTGTGTTCATTTTGAGCGATGTCGGTGTAGATCAATTTAAATAAAGTAGGTTAAGGACTTGAGACCGACTTTATTCCAATGACGAGCCCTTTTCTTACTATTGTTTATTTTACTTCATTTCCATTTTTATTGTTATTTTTTGTTGTTTATGTGATTTGAATTAATTTCTATTATTATTTTTTTGCGTTACTAATTTTTTCTTCTTCCACATTTAGCTTTGAATTTGGGCTTTAAGCTTAATTTAATATTTTAAGGTGGCATGTAAGGTGATATAGGCTTGAGGTATATGTCTATTTTTTATTATTATTATGGATGTCATCATCCTCTTTTTATCCTCCACAAAATAATAATAATAATAATAAAAGAAAGAAAAATACAAAATCGAAAGAGAAAAAAGTCTCATTAGCCAACCCACGTCGAGCCGCACCCAAGCCTAGATGCGCCAAGTCTTGTGGGTTGTCCAGCCCAATCTTCCTAAAATAGAAAAAACCCAAACGATAATAGTTGAAAGAAGCACCGTCACTCCCAACTAGCCAACTTTCGACCAATATACACTAGCCTTTCCGGATCATCTAACGTAGACGATTCCAAAGACTACTAAAACTCGCTCACTTTCGACAACAGAGCCCCCTCACGCGCCGCCTAATGATCGGTTCTCGTTGTCGTTCTCGCATCCAATTTGTTCCTCGCATTACCGATTTAGGTAATTATGCCTCTACACTTTCATGTTTCGATCTTATTTTCTTTCAAATTTTAGGGTTTTGCTCGATTACTTTTGTGTTTCATGGGATCATAATGTCAATTATATATTTGAAGATCAATATTTAGATGATTATTGAATGTAAAATATTAGGTTATGGGTATAATTCAAAGATTTAAAATTTTGAATACTTGGTTGCTTTAATGTGTGATGTGTTTTAATGTTTAATCAAATTGGGAATAGAGGATTAGTGAATTTTTTAAGTTTTAATATTGTCTTATTTTATTTTCTTATAATGATTTTCAATAAAAATGTATTTTTTTGGCATATTATATAGTATCTTTATTTTCTATATAATAAGTTCTTGAGGAACTATCAGTCGATGATGAAGCTATTAATTTTTTTAAAAATCAAAATAAGCCAAATATGAATTTGTAAGCCAAAGACTTAATGGAGGCCTATTAGCTATTTTATTTTTCGTGAAGTCGTTTTTTTATAATTTTTGATTTTTTACATGTTTTTATGTCTTATACTTTGTATGTTTATTTTATGTGATGTCGATCTAGATAAAGTATGTTTAGGACTTGAGACCGACTATATTCTAATGACAAGTCTTTTTCTTATTATTTATTTTATTTTTATTTTTTATTGTTATTGTTTATAATTTTAATTTATTGTTATGGTGTTACTAATTCTTTTCTTCTTGTAGATTTAGCTTCAAATTTAGGTTTTGGGACCCAATTTAATATTTTAAAATGACATGGCGAGGTGATATGGGTCGAAGGCCCATGTTCGTTTTTTAGTCATTATGGACTTGTAATTTTATTTTATTTTTATTTTTTATGATTCGGCATGTGAATTTAGGCCTAGGCCCATGTTCATTTTATTTTTATTTTTGTATTTTTTGGGGACCAGGATTTAATGTCCAATGAGCTTTTAATCCTAATTTTTACCTTCTCAAATGGGCTCTAATGGTCCAATAACATATTAGGTGAGAGGCCGAGTTTTCTTTCGGTCTCCAAATTACCTCCCATATAACCGATTAGAAAAGGGCTCAAATAATCAAATTCATAAATCGGGATAAAAATAAGGTAATTTGGATGAATGAATTCTCCTAAACTAGAAATACAAAGTAACCTTATGTTGAGGGCACACTAATTTGACTATAGTCTTCCCTAGTTACATAATTAGCCCTTTACTTAGAACTCTTGAGAGCGGTATTAGGTTTTTTCTTAGTTTTTACCTTTTGAAAATCGAATGGTGACTCCATACTTATACATTTCCATTTTTTACGATCGATGAGATATCACCATGTGATTGAATGACGACTCCACTCGGAAAACTAAGGGTTAAGCCTATGATGTTTCTTGTTTTTAGGGATTATCTTTGTTTTATGTGTTTGTTCTATCTTGAAATGTTTGTGCCTTTTACTATAATGTTTGGGCTTGTATATAAAGTGTGGCCCTTTTATATACAATAACACATATACAAGAATGAGTTTTAAGCCTACACACACTCTAACACCTTAACTTAAGATTAGAAGGAAAGAGATGGCACTCGAGGAACTACGATCCGAGGCTCGTGCAACTCACTCCTCCACCCTTATGGATATTTATTCTTCTGTATGAGACTACGAAAGACAACTTGGTAACCCTCATGCATAAGAATAGAGCTTTAAGTATCTCTTATTATAGTTAAACTTAAACCCACGATGAGATCTTTTAAAGGAGTTAGGTTAGCCAACCTTATCCATGCACATCTAGATAACTCTAAAACCTATATCTAGGTTACCCTTAGGACATAGGGCATACATCTTTTTTTTTCTTTATGCAGTTATAAGATTTAATGAAAGCCAATTTTAACCATGGAAAATAGTATGTCAAATAGGAAGGTGTCTATGACTCATGAGACTACCATTATGGAACTACCGATTGAGAATTTCTTTATTGATTCCGAAACTCTCCAACATCATGAAGGGAATTGCCTAAAATTGGAGGCCATTTTGCCTCTAATGTTGAACATCGATAGCAAGACCAATGATGTGATAAACCTCAAAGTCGTTTTTGAGAGATTGAGCTCAAAGAATCGAAATGCTTTGAAGATGATTATGAGAGAATAACAAATTTACCGAAAGTGGTCGGTTTAGGATGATGTTATCAAGATAATGGTCTCTTATTGGAACATAAATTACTAATGCTTCACATTTATACCTATATTTGCTCCTTGTTAGATAAAAAAAACTACTATTTAGGATTTTTGCCACTATCAATGGACTAATATGAACTTAGCAAAATAAAAGAGTTTTTATCAAAATTTGAGCCCTAATCAAGTGGTTTGGAGAGCTTCTTAGATGTCACCTGCTTGATATCTTATGAAAACTAGAGATTTTGCTTGGGTATTGCTGATTAGAGCTAGAGTTATGTGAGTTACTTATTGTCTATTGCTACTAGGTAGTTGGGATATATGCAATGTATTCCTCTAACCATCAAATTAATCGAATATGATTTCTTCTTTAAAGGAGATTTCATGCTTAATTTAGAAGTAACAAGAGCTACTTAAAGTAAGAGAACTTTTATGAAGCAAAAAGAACACGACCTTTGACCAAGGACAATAGACAAATATCTAAGATAGCAAGCTAGAAGCGAAACTCTTTATACCTTACTAAAATTATATGGGGCATTAAGAAGATGTATAGTTGAAGATATTTCCCAAGATTTAGAGAAAGAAGATTTGATGGTGCAAGAAATTCTTCATGGAAAGCTTCGAGCATGAGCTAGCCGAGATAATTTGAAGGAAGCGAAAGATAGAAGATGATTATGGGCACTTGTTCACCATATAAAAAGACATAAGGAATCAAGTGGAGCTACTAAAGAATCAATACTTGAAACAAAAGTTAGAGGTTGAGAAAGTAAAAAAAAGTTATAGAGTAAAATAAAAAGTCTGTATGAGGGGATAATCCTATTCCATCAAGAAAAGAACCCATTGATGGCTTAGTTATCTATTAAAGAGAAAATATAACTCAAACTCTATGCACTCGGAAGAACATATATAAAAAATGAAAAGCAATATTCAAGTGCTCACAAGAGATATTAATAAAAAAAGGTTCAAGCAAAGAAAATCGACTAAACTAAAGCTTGCTTGATCAATAAGTCTAAAGAAGAAAGAAGCAAGATGAGCAAGATAGAAATGAAAGTCTAAGTATTTAAAGAAAAGTATGAACAAAGGATGGCCAAGCTGATTAAGCCAAACTCCGTTGATATAAAGACATGATTGCTAGAATTATTAGAAAAGCATAAACCTTGAAGGACATGACTAAGAATGTTTCTAGAGGAATAATAGCTTATGATCAACGTGCCATTAAAGTATATCTAGATTGATGCGGTGATTTACTTTTCAAGATTATCGCTAACGGAATGTAAATTGAAATTCGTAGGGACTAAATTGAAATTCGGGAGCAATCGACGACATTAGAGTTCGGAGGACTACATGTTGTCCGCTCTAACCTAAAATCTCGGGATTATTCCTTAATCTTTCGTAGGAGAGAAATCTTTCTCGGATTAAGTTCGGATTGATTTGCATTCATTAGGATCCTTAGCTAGATTTGATACCGACCAAGGATCATGCCCCAACACAATCGATGCCTTAATTTTGTCTCATTGAAGGCAATTTTTTTGCCTTAATAATTAAATCCAAGTGTGAATGGGTTGATTCTAGAAAAGAGATTTGAGCCAATTTGTGCCTATAAAGGCTTAGGTTAGCCTGGAAGGAGACTACAAGAAAAAGTGAAGGATCTTGGGTCGAGAGAGAGTGAAAAATTGAGTAAAAGATTAGAACTCGAGAGATTTTTGAAATTTATGGTGGTCGCCTATTCTAAGTCTTTCTAGGATCTTAGTGTTCATCAATTTTTGGGTTCACGTTCTTAATTTTCTAGGGCTATTAAAGAGGGTTTGTTCTCGCTTTGATTAGTATTTTGTTCTTTTGGTTGATTAGAAAGATAAATTGAGAGTAAAGGGTTGAAAAATCGTTAGATTTTAGCATTTTGGGCTTCTTGGGTAATTGCATTTTCCAAGCGACGATTTAATTGTTCCTAATTTTTTGGTTTCGTTTTTTACATTCTTCCCATTGTTGAACTCTAATCCTTCGATTTTGAACTTGTCCGAACGTCCAAAACCAATTGAAAGTTTCTTCGAGTCCTTTAGAAACCATCCCGAGGATCAATGTTTGCCCATCTCATCTTCCGGATGGCAATCCTCAATTTCCTATTTGGTTAGTGTTCTTCATTTTTTTTGTTTTCCCGCTTTTCCATTCCTTTTACTTTCTATCGTTTGATTTTTGTTGTTTAGGCCTTAGATCGTTAATTTTGATGGATGCAAGGATATTGAACATGATATAGTCAATTATGTTTTTTATTTTGATCTAAAATAAAATTTCTATGTCCGAGAAATGATGATGAATAGAGAGAGAAAATGAAGAACATAAAGAACGAGAGAGAGAGAGAGAGAGTCGGGAGGGTTGTTTGATCAAAAATTAAAATGAAAAGGTTTTGGGCTTTGTTTATAGGCTTAGTCCGAGCTTTTTTAAAGAAATGAAATGAACGGCTTGGGCATCTCAACTTTAACCCAATCCTCGTTTTCTTTTCAAAAATAATTTAGACAATGCCACACACCCCTTTTCTTAAATAATAAGAATATAAGAAATAAAAAAAGAAAGGAAAAAAGTAAACTAAAAATGTAGCAAAAAAACCGAAACTAGTCAAGTAAGAGAAGGAAGAAAAAAGAAAAAAAGAGGGCGGTAGGAGAGAATAAGGCATGGGCTATTGGGCTTGGGGCCCAAAAAGATTTCTTTTAATATTTTGATTTTATTTTACTATAGCTTGAGTATTTTTATTTCTCGTTATATTTTTATTTTTTGCATTAATTTAGATTCAATATTTTAAACATTTGTTGGAATTTATTTGATTAACCTTAAAAGTTAGAATTTACATTAGTTATTAGGTTAGATAATTATTTGAAAAAAAATTTATCGAGTCTCTTAATTTTTTAAGGACTAATGATAATTTTTTATTAACAAATAATAAAAATAAAAATAAATAATAAAAATTTTTAATGAAGCCTCCTATTTGATAAGGACTATCATTTGACCAAAAAATAAAAATGATGACAATTCTCAACGAAGATTCCTATCCGATAAAGATAGTCGTTTGACCAAAAAAAATAAAGAAAAAATAAAAATTCTTAACAAAGTCTCCTATCGGATAGGAATTGTCGTTACAAAAAATCAACACTTATAATCGGGATGTTCTCCGACACATCGGTTGTGTCGAGGCTTAAAGTGGATCCGATGTTTGAACCGATGTGTCGCTCGACGAAGGGGACGGACAATCGTTTCGATACAATGCCACACCAAAACTAAAAAACTTAATTCAACTTGGAAATTGGGGTTAAATCGAAAATAAATTTGTACAAAAAAAATACTTTAGGAGATGAATTTAAAACTAAACTAGATGTGGTACATTTCCTAGAAAAGGATGCCTTTGAGGTGATCAATATCTCCCAACGCGTAATCAACTCTTTATTCGAAAATCTCCGAATCGGTACTCATTTTATGTTCCTAGTTCTTTTAATGCTAGGTGATGACTCCAAACTTGTAAATAAATGATTAATATTATATTATTTTTCTCGAGAGTCTCATTCGACGACGAGTAGCGACAACCTCTTTTAAGATTGGTCGGAAAATGCCCGGATAATCGAATGCGCAAATCGGGATAGAAAGGTAATTTACATGAATAAATTCTCCTAAGCTAGAAATATAAGGTAACCTCATTACGAGAACACACTAGAGTGATTGTAGTCTTCCCAAATTGCATAATCAATCTCTTTACTTAGAACTCTTAGGACTCGATACTATTAGGTTTTTTCCTTAGTTTTTATCTTTTGAGAACTAAATGATGACTTGTATACATATATAGATTTCATTTTTTGCTATTGCTAAGAAGTAATTATGTGACAATGGGGATTAAAAAAAAAAAAAAAAAGAAGATACAATTGATAAATTTTATAGAAAGACATGTTTGATAAATGATGTATTATATGAAAGTATATTAATAATTTTAATTAGTAATTACATAAGAAAATGGTGTGTATCTGTGGGCTACATTTACAGCCCACCAAGCCACCACCACGGCCCAAACTAGCAAAATTCTGAAATGCATCCGGTCCTGGATGAATATTGATGCATGCAATGTATATTGTTATTTAAAGGCAGTGGGATTAATTTGGTGTGAAAAGTGATACTAAGTTTCTTGGTCTTTAGTCAGCAAACGAGAACGTAATGAAGCAGTAATGGAATGTGCATTACCAATATGAACACATGGAAGTTTTATCAGGAGACAATAAGACTTTAAGAAGAGGAATATGTGACCAGGAAATCAAACCTTGGAATATCAGTACGCGAAACCGCGGAAAGAAGTTTCCTTTCTTATTCCCACTTGGCGATGAGGGCCGTACATTCATTGCTCTCTGAGCCATGCAAATGCAGTGCTGAATAAAATAATGAAAAGTACTGTGCCAGCGACCTTAAAGTGCGAGCTTGACTTGGACAATTAAGAAAAAAATAGGACACTGGTCCTTATCAAGTAAATCATCAAGACTGGTTTGATTATCAATCTATAAATAGCAGTTCACCATGATCCATTTACAAGAAAAAAGAAAGTAAAAAATGGAGAGGTTTTTAAAGAGAGCTGCAGTCTGTGCTTTACTTGTGGCCTGCATCATGTTATCGACGAACTCAAGCTGTCTCTTGGCAGAAGCAAGAACTTCCGATTTCTTAGTTGCTCAAGGTGAAAATCTCTTTCTTCATCGCTTCAGATTTTAATTAGCTAGCCTCTGGAGCAGTGCATTTTTAACTTTGTGCCAATATTGGTTTTCTTGTTACTAATGCAACACAGAAATTAACACACACACAAGTCCCCCTCCGTTTAAAGGGCTGGAATTCTTTGGTAATAATAATAATAATAATAATAAAAAGGGAGAGATTAAAAACAAGCAAATTAAGAAATCGATTGATACAAATATAGATCCGTTGTTCTAATTTTTACATGTTTCCTTAGATTAGCATATGTTTGTATGTCTTTGTCTCTGAACTAATGCCACTGACAGGAAGTCCAGTTCATCAACGTCGGAGTTTGCGGCTCGGTCCGGTTCGGCCAGGATCTCCAATGCCAAATGGGCAGCAATCACATGTCGCACCAGCTCCACCAGCTATTCACTGATTTAGAAGAAGTTTCATCATGAGTAGTTGAGGGTGCTAATTCAGCATATGTCACTTGCCATTAATTATACCATCAAATGGATCCATGAGTATGATATTATTAATATTGCAAGACGATCTATATGTGGTTGTTCCTTTTTACCAACAACATAAAAAATGAAAAAAAGAGCAAACCGGCCGGACTGAATGTTGTAACTTTGCTTATAACTTTTGTCTCGTGTGTCATTGTTGCTCTATCTTGTAGTAATGACAATACCAAAATTTTTATAGAACCTTGGGCTTGATTAGAATTTTTTTTTCTAGTTTTTATTATTGAATCAGAAAATATGTTCATTGCTTACGTTTTGAAAATGTTTTCTAAATTAGAAAATAAAAAGATTCTTTTATCATTTTCTTAGAAATATAGAGTGACTTTTCAGTTCCGACAAGATCATTAAATTTGGTTGATCTTCTCCATTACACTATCTTATCGATTTATAGATAGATGATGGTATTGAATGATCGAAAGAACTCAAAGAATCGGACACTACTTTCGTGGTTGCTCCATATCCACGGATCCTTGCAAGGATCACAAAAACCCTAGATATTCAACTCTTAAAGCATCTGGAGAATTCATACCCAAAGAAAAATCAGCTTTCCGGAAAAAGTGAGCCTCTCTATTTTATTGATGACCCATCTAAGGAGCTCCGTCATTTCTGCCATCTTAGATTCTTGGACACCATCAATACAAACCACCATAGTGAATTTTATATTCATACGAGAAAAAGCAGTAAGCTTCTTGAATGCTGGCTAATAAATTGTGAAGATACGAAAAAGCATTTTGTAAGTTAATAAGCTTGTACGAATACTATGCTAAATCCGTTGAAATTGGAATCCTCCTCATACAGATTCGAGGCTATCAACCTAGGTCCAAAGTCCAAACAACACATACAGGCCTAACCCATTAAAAATCCTAAGGCCCAATACCTAGAGGGCATACGAACTGGCCGAAATCGGAAACACCAACACTGCGCATGGTAACACCAGCATCTTGGCCGCACCATAAATGACCTTGCTTGCGTGATCAGCATCCAGGTCTCTGGTTGTACAAATATATACAATTAAATTATAATATTTTTTTCCCCCTATTTGACATACAAAATACTAAAAGAATATATCTACCAACCAATTTTTCTTTCATCTACAGCTTTCAATATGAAACAAATGCTTCCATTCAAATGTTCATAATGTGGCTTTAGCAAATGCTTGCAAATAATTCCTTCCATAACATAAGTTAATTATAAATTAGTCTCTTTAGTTTTAAAAAATTAATTAATTAATCCTTTTTGTTTCAAAAACTAATTATTTATTTCGATAACCGATATTTACTGCGTTTAATTTTATATTTTTTTATTCTAAAAATTGTTTTCTTTTCTCATTAATTTGTTTCAAAATTCTATGCTCACATTATGTGACATGACATATAGGATGTCACGATGGATAATAGTCCACATAGGATGACACATGGTTAAAAGTTAAATTTCCAATTGAACGAATGACATGTCACCCACTAATGCAAAACCAATTTCAAAAACTAATTCTCACAATGCAAACTTAAATCAATTCATGAAAAGCTAAATTTCTAATTTTCTTTCTTCTCTATCCAACAAACAAATCCCAATCATTAATCTTCTTCTCTTCTTTACCCATCCAACAAGAACCCTAACGAAACAAAATACCCAAAATTATTGTTGGAGACAATAAAAGAATAGGATTGCTTGCATTCTAATGGCTAATAGTTCTACCAAAAAAACCATAAAATACAAGCATTAATATATTTAGTTGAGTTCTAAACAAATAACAAAGTGCTACCATTTCGGTGGGAATGGGATTGCTAGCATTCTAATGGCCGATAATTCTACTAAATAAAACTCCTTCCCACAATCATTATGAAAAAGATCTTGGGGTTTGTGCAACCCACCAATTAGATGCATTTTTTTGTACCAAGCATTAATCTTCTTCTTTTTTTCATTTATATATTCAAAATAAAACAAACAAACAAACAAACAAAAAAATGCTTAACTATGATTAGAAGAAAGAAAATTTAAAGAAGCAATAAGAGAAAGATGAAGCTAACAAGTTAAGACCGTATTCATAAATTTGCTTCTTTCCATGGAAAGTAAGAAACTTTCAGTCTTTTGTCTTGTGGGGTTTCTATATTCAATCCGGAAATGAGTTCAAAATCAACTAATTTGCTTCGAGGTCGCTATAAATGCATATTTTTCTCTTTGATTTTCAAAATTTAGGCTTTTCATGCACTTTGATTTTCTTCCAAAAAAGGAAAAAGAAACCCAGAAGTTTTGCATGCTAGCTTCACTAATTATGACACATCGTTTGTCTTTTGCGATCGACAACCCGCCTATTGCCATTATAATTTTTGGTATTTCGTGTCATTAGGGTTTTTGTTCGTCGAGCAAAGAAGAGAAGAAGATTAGAGATTTGGACTTGTTCGTCTGAGTCGAAAAGAAAAGAAGATTAGAGATTTGGTTTTTTATGAATTGATTTAAGTTTGTATTGTGTGAATTATTTTTTGGAATTGATTTTGCATTAGTGAGCGACATGTCGTTCATTCAATTAGAAATTTTAATTTTTAGCCACATGTCATCCTATATGTATTGTTATCCATGGTGGCATCCAAATGCCGGATCATGTGAACTCAAAATTTTGGATGGAAAATGCCTCTCATGCCAAAATGATTACAAAAGCTTAATTCATATATTTTCTATCCACTTTTGAAAGAACGTGCCAAAGCGATTAAATGGTGTATAGTTCATGCTTTTATAAATTATAACCCAAGACTAGGACCACCCTCATATTGGAGCATAACGTACTTTAAATATAAAGATTGAATAACTCTTTTATCAAAAAAAGACAATCATCATAAAGGGTTCACTCATGTTTATCCCTAAAAAAGAAAGAATAATCGTGAATTTGCTAAAACCATTATTCTAAAAGTGTAGAGGAAGATACTTCTCAAGATCCGAAAGAAGAAAACTTGATGCCGCAAGAAATTCTTTATTAAAAGAAAAAACTTTGGCATGAGCTTATTAAGACAATTCAAAAGAAGTGAAAAGTTGAAGATTCTAGTCACCATGTAAGAAGATATGAGGAATCAAGTGGAGCTACTCGACTAAAAAATCAATAATTGAAACAAACAAATTTAAGGGTGAAAAAAAAAAGTAAAAGAGCAAAATAATGGAATAGTTTTATTCTATCAAGAAAAGATCTAGATGTCAACTCAATTAGAAACTTGAGATAAAACTCAAGTCACAACCCATTCATTGGAAGAACACATAATCAAAAGCATCATTCAAGCACTCACGAGAGAAGTTAACATCAATAACAACGATTCTACAAAAGCAATCAAGTCAAGAGAAAGCATTTGTAATAGTTAGAGAAATCCTTGTTCTTAAACCCTTAAACACACTTTGAGCCTTTACATCTTTTTCTTTGAGATCCCAATACAAGCCAACGTTACGTGCTTTTGAAAGTCGTTTTTAATCAAAATAAGTTACTTATGCTGATAAGTTGTATCCTTAAAAAGAAAATGAAAATGATTTTTGATCAATTTGCATGTTCCATATCATTATTTATGGCATCAAATCGTAAAAAACGGATAAGGCAAGGCTATCATTTCAAATTAAAAACCACATTTTGAGCTCGATCCATTCCAAATATGAGATATATTTTACAAAAGTATCATCCAATCCTTTCACTTTCAACACAATCAAACTTTTTATCACTTTGCAAATAGCACTAAAAGATATCCATTTATAAAAACTCTTTTACAACTTGAACATGATTGCAACTTAATATTCGAATGATATATTTTGGCTTATCAATCATACAATTCATGAATGAGAATACTTTCTAACACAAATCTTTGAGATTTTTTGTAATAATCTGGATTGATACAAAAAATACCATTAAAATATGCTACTCGGGTTCAAAATAGAATAATTTTTCGATAATGTTGTTGTTAAATTGAACCAAATTTACAAAGTATGAGTAAAGAGTTGAACAAACAAATTATCAAGGATGACATTGATTAAATTCAATTGGCTATGTAAGACCATAATTCAAGAGTCGTGACTAGCAACATATCAGTTAAACCAAGAGATAGGTTGATGATGCAAAAATAATTAGATCCATGGTATAATAGTTGAACAAGAGAATAACAAGATGACATTAAGTATTCCTAAAGAATGAAATCAATGGAATCTAGTTTGTATGGGAATAGCAAGACATGACTTGGGGGAAAATAAAATAATTAACCTAAGGGCGGACATAGTTCAATATATATATCCATGCTTGATGAAGGCACATAAACCATCTCGTCGAAATTCAACAATAAGCAAGGGAGCATGGAGATGATTCAAAGGTTATGAATGTAAGTAGGGGGCAGCATGACCTAATGATAGAAGGGTATCACATTTTTACGGATAGAGTGGAACAACAACAAGCCGAATATAGCATATGTTCTAGAAACTATATCAAACTAGTAGCCAAGATACAAAATTTGAGTTGATTCTCCGAATTTGAGATGAGGAGTTCAATTTTACAAGGTGTGACCTAGACTTCTTTAGGATGTACTATCCTCATAAAACCCACAATCTATCATTGCCATATATAAATAGAACTTAATCAAGGGAATGAACAAACCTTTCCTTTTAAGGTTATTCATTATAAATCAAATTTTGAAAAAAAAATCTAGGTGGTCACCCCGTCGAGATGATCAAGTTTTTCAAAAATGTCCAAGTAATCACCTTATCGAGATGACCAATCTCTTTCTTAAGAAGATCGTTCAACAATTAAGAGTCATATTTCAGCCACTCCCATATCCCGAGAGGATTCGTATATATGGTATTTTCTTCACTCCATAAAGGTTTGTATATTTGATGGATTTGCTTCACCCTATAAGGGTTCGTATATTTGATGAACTTCCTTGATCCCAAGAAGATTCATATATTTATTGCATTTTCTTCACCCCAAAAGGGTTTGTATATTTGACTTATTTTCAAAATCAAATCTCCCTAAGAGGGATCATAAATTTGATTGCACATGTTTTTTAAAATCAAATCACCTCCTATAAGGTTTATATATTTGATTGGTGTTCTTTTAAGTAAAGTCTATTTAAGAGAGATCGTATATTTGATTGCTTCATTTCGAGAGATTTTATATATTTTATTCATTTTCTTTTTCAAAATCAAATTACCTTCAAGAAGATTGGTATATTTGATTCATTTTCTTTTAAGTCAAGTCACCCCAAAAGAGATTTTATATTTGATTACTTCACTCCGAGAGAGTTTATATATTTGATTGATTTTTTTTTCAAAATCAAATCACCTTCAAGAGGTTCATATATTTGATTGACTTTTTTTTAAGTTAAGTCTCTCCAAGAGGGATCACACATTGATTGCTTCACTCTAAGAGAGTTCGTATATTCATATGTTTTTTTTTCCTAAAAATCAACCCTAGGATGGTTCATATATTTGATTTATTTTTAAAATCAATCACCCTAAGAAATTTTGTATTTTATATTCATTTCCAAAGTTGAATCACCCATAAGTGGTTCGTTTCTCCGAGTTTGTCATTTTCTAATCACAACTTTTCTTTATAAACTCACTAAGTCAACATATACAGAGACTTGTCTTCTCACTCCCTTGACGCGTAAGCATTGTAAATAGTAGGAAGTTGTCATCATCATATTTTTACCCCTATAAAAAAAGAAAAAGAAAAAGAAAAAAATTAAAGAAAGAAAGAAAAAGAGAAAACAACAAAAAAGAAAAAGAGGAGGCCGGATGACACTAACCCACACTAGGCCATGCACCAAGCTTGGTATGCTATCCAACCCAATTCCCATTAAAACAAAAAAAAAATATCCTAAACCAACCAAGGTATAATATGTCTTACCCTACCCACACTCACATATACAATGACATTTAGCCAAAACCTAGCAACCAAAAATAAAAAGAAGCCAAATAAAAGGCATAAAGGGTGGAAAAAAGAAAGCATCATCATTCGACTTCCGACCATCATTTCTTGACACGCGTTGGACCCCGAATCTTCCATCTAAGATGATCAATATGCAACTTGAACTCGCTCCATTATGATCACTAGTCTAAAAGTCTCGTCATCCTTGGTGAACTTTCATCCATTTCAATCCCCGAACTTCTAATTTTGTTAATTGTATCCTTGCATTTTCAATTTACTTTGGCTTAATTTTCATCCAACTTTTTGTATTGTATGATTATTTTCTTTAATTCATGTGCTAATGATGTTATCATATAATTAACATAATGTTTGGATGTATAATTGAATTAAAATCATTTAATTTGGGATCTAATTAGAAAAATTCAAATTTAAAGTTCTTAACTTCAACTGACGTATTTAAGAGATTTTAGATTTGAACCTATTGTTGTTTATGCGTGTCAAAATTTAATTTTTATAAGGTAATGATCTCTAAGTTTTTAAGTATTAATCTATTATTACCTTTGCTTTTGCTTTTGTTTTTATTTTTTTTATTATTTTTTTTTAATAAAAATGGTTGTTTGGCATATTATATAGTCTCTTTATTTTTTATATAATAAGCCTCCGAGGAACTCGTAGGTCGATGTTAAAACCAAGCAATAGGCTATATAATGTTTTTTTAAAAAATAAAATAAGCCAAATATAAATTAATAAGCCAAGGACCTTGTGGAGGCCTATTGACTATTTTATTTTTTATGGTGTCGACTTAATTGATTTGTGGCTTTTACATGTTAATATATCTTTGCACTTTGTGTGTTTATTTTGTGTAATGCTAGTCTAGGTCGGTCTAGATAGAATATGTCTAGGACTTAAAACTAATTTTGTTCCAATAAAGGGCCTTTTTCTAACTATTATTTATTTTACTTTATTTTTATTTTTTATTTGATTTGAGTTTTATTTATTTATTTATTTGTGTTACTAATTTCTTCTTCTTGTAGATTTAGCTCGAATTTAGGCTTTAGACCTAATTTAATATTTCAAGATAGCATGCAAGGTGATATAGTCTCGAGGTCCATGTCTATTTATTTTTTATTATGGACTTTTAATTATTTTTATTTCATGCTTTGGCGAGTGAATTTGGGCTTGTGGTCTAGGTTTATTTTATTTATATCAAAGTGGTATAGGGTTTGGGCCATTTAAATTGCAATGAGTTTTAAAGCCTAACTTTTACCTTTTCAAATGAGCTCCAATGACCTAATGACATATTAGGTAAGAGATCAAACCTTTTTTTAGTCTCTAAATCAACTCTCTTAAGATTGGTAAAAAAAAAACCTAGATAATCGAACACGCAAATCGGGATAGAAAGGTAATTTGCATGAATGAATTTCCCTAAGTTAGAAATTTAGGGCAACCTTATTGCGAGGACACACTAAAGTGACTGTAGTCTTTCCAAATTGTATAATCAACCTCTTTACTTAAAACTCGAAAACTGGTCCTATTAAGTTGTTTCTTAGTTTTCATTTTTTGAAAATTGAATGGCGAATACATACATATATATATTTCCTTTTTTGTGATAATTGAAAAGTCATCATGTGACAATGGGGATAAAAAAGAAAAAGATACGATTGATAAATTTTATAAAAAGACATGTTTGATAAATAATGTGCTATATGAAAGTATATTAATTGGTTTCTCCTAATTTAAATTAGTAATTACATAAAAAAAATGGCGTAATTGTATCTGTGGGCTACATTTACAGCCCACCAAAGCCACCACCGTGGCCCAAACTAGCAATTAAGAAATGCACCGGTCCTGGATGAATATTGATGCATGCAATGTATATTGTTATTTAAAGGTAGTGGAAACTTGATTAATTTGGTGTGAAAAGTGATACTAAGTTTCTTGGTCAATGTAATGAAGCAGTAATGGAATGTGCATTACTAATATGAACGCATGGAAGTTTTATGAGGAGACAAAAAGACATTAAGAAGAGGAATATGTGACCAGAAAATTAAATCTTGTAATATCATTACGCGAAACCGCGGAAAGAAGTTTCCTTTCTTATTCCCACCTGCCAATAAGGGCCGTACATTCATTGCTCTTCTAGCCATGCAACTGCAGTGCTAAATAAAATAACGAAAAGTACTGTGCCAGCCATCTTAAAGTGCGAGCTTGACTTGGACAATTAAGAAAAAAATAATACACTGGTTCTTATCGCTTAGGAAAATCATCAAGACTGGTTTGATTATCAATCTATAAATAGCAGTTCACCATGATCCATTTACAAGAAAAAAGAAAGTAAGAAATGGAGAGGTTTTTAAAGAGAGCTGCAGTCTGTGCTTTACTTGTGGCCTACATCATGTTATTGATGAGCTCTAGCTGTCTCTTGGCAGAAGCAAGAACTTCCGATTTCTTAGTTGCTCAAGGTGAATATCTCTTTCTTCATCACTTCAAATTTTAATTAGCTAGCCTCTCGTGCAGTGCATTTTTAACTCTGTGCCCCCCTCCCTTTAAAGGGGTAAAATTCTTTTGTAATATTAATTGAAAAAAAAAACAGAGAGATTAAAAACAAGCAAATTAAGAAATCGTTTGATACAAATATAGGTCCGTCGTTCTAATTCTTACATGTTTCCTTAGATTAGCATATGTTTATATGTCCTTGTCTCTGAATTAATGCAATTGACAGGAGGTCCAGTTCATCAACGTCGGAGTTTGCGGCTCGGTCCGGTTCGGCCAGGATCTCCAATGCCAAATGGGCAGCGATCACCTGTCGCACCAGCTCCACCAGCTATACACTGATTTAGTAGAAGTTTCATCACGAGTAGTTGAGGGTGCTAATTAAGCATATGTCACTTGCCTTTAATTATATCATCAAATGGATCCATATGTATGATATTATGAATATTGCAAGACGATCTATATGCGGTTGTTCCTTTTCACCAACAAAATAAAAAAATAAAAAATAAAAAAGCAAACCGTCTGGACTGGATGTTGCAACTTTGCTTATAACTTTCGTCTCGTGTGTAATTGATACTCTACCTCGTAGTAATGACAATACCAAAATTTTTATAGAACTTTGGGCTTGATTAGAATTTTTTTTTTTCTGGTTTTTATTATTGAATCAGAAAATATGTTCATTGCTTACGGTTTGAAAATGTTTTCAAAATTACGAAAAAAAAGAAGATTCTTTTATCATTTTGATGACTACAGAAACATAGAGTGACCTTTCAATTCCGACAAGATTATCAAACTTTGTTGATCTTCTTCACTACACTATCTTATTGATTTATAGGTAAATGATGTTATTGAATGACGGAAAGAACTCAAAGAATCAGACACTACTTCGGTGGTGGCTCCGTATCCACGGATCCTCGCAAGCATCACAAAAACCCTAAGTATTCAACTCTTAAAGCACCTTGAGAATTCATACCCAAAGAAAAATCAGCTTTTCCGAAAAAAGTGAGCCTCTCTATTTTATTGATGGCCCATCTGATGAGCTTTCTGCCATCTTAGATTCTTGGACACCATCCATAAAAACTACCATAGTGAATCTTTTATTCATATGAGAAAAAGTAGTAGCTTCTTGAATGCTTGCTAATAAATTGTGAAGTACGAAAAAGCATTTTGTAAGTTAATAAGTTTGTACGAATACTATACTAAATCCGTTGAAATTGGAATCCTCCTCAAACAGAATCCAGGCCATCACCCTGGGTCCAAAGTCCAAAGAATACATACAGGCCTAGCCCATTAAAAATCTTACGGCCCAATACCTAGAGGGGCACGAACTGGCCGAATTTGGAAACACCAACACTGCACATAGTAACACCAGCATCATGGCTGCACCATAAATGACCTTGCTTGCTAGTTCCCCCTCCACACACACACACTTGACATACAAAATACTAAAAGAATATACCTACCAACCAATTTTTCTTTTATCTACAGCTTTCAATATGAAACAAATGCTTCCATTCAAATGTTCATAATGTGGCTTTAGCAAATGCTTGCAATTAATTTCTTCCATAAAATAAGTAAATTATAAATTAATCCCTTTAATTTCGAAAAATAAATTAATTAATCTTTCTTTTTTTTCAAAAACTAATTATTTAATTCATTAACCAATATTGACTATGTTTAATTTTATAAGTTTTTATTCTAAAGATTGTTTTTTTTTCTCATTAATTTGTGCACAATATTTTTTTTCTTTTTCTTTTTTTTTAATTAAAAAAATAAAATGGACAAAAAAGACTGATAGTTTTTGAAAAGGAGGGGCTAATTTATAATTTACTCTTCATAACATTTACTATCCTCTCAAATAGATTCATAAAAGAGCATCCAACAAATCTCATCCAAAGTATTATTTTCTCCCGTCAATGGGATTTGGTTCCCCTCAAGTTACGATAGCATAAGATACCATGGTAGGTGAGTAAATTATAAATTAGTCCTTTTATTTTTGAAAAACATTAATTCATTTTTTTTTGTTTCAATAATTAATTATTTAGTTTATTGACTAGGTGTTGACCATGCTTAATTAAAATATCATGTTTTCTCATCAATTCTTTCATATTATTTACTTATTTTTTCTTTTCTATTTTTAAAACAAAAAATCAAAATAAATTGAAAAAAAAAAGTAGAAAGAATTAAGTTACAAAAAAATTTAAAATATAAAGACTAAATAATTAGTTTTGAAACAAGAGAGACAAATTAATTCGTTCAACGACTAATTTATAATTTACTCCGTAATAGGTAAATCCAGATCATTAAGAAGAGAACAGCGTATATGAGCATGCACCACCAATTTATAATTATAGGATGAAATGGACAAGAGCCCTATTGTAAGCTTGCTTCATCTCTATTCAAGGTTATTATGGCTATATCTCTTACATGAGATTATGAAGAAGACTGACTCATTTATTACTTAACTAAGGATTACATCAGTACTCGTGGAGGCTTAACCTGAGTGGTAAGCGGGTTTACTCCCCATGCAAATATTTATGTAGGAAAAAACTTTTATTCCAGCAGAAAAAGGGCCGTTACAGCATGAGTTTTTTGGGTTCTCTCTCTGTCTTTTAATTACATTCTACAGCCAGAAAATATACATCGTGCATTAAAAGGATCTAAGGTAAAGTGGAAATAGACTTGCTATAACATCTAGAGTAGTAGGAAAAGAAACCCTCACTTTGGGTTGGAGAATTGAAACAATAAGGATCTCTAGATTACAGTTCCGCTGGGAATCAACGCGTCCTTGATTACTGTGACAATCCCACTCTTTATGAAATATCCATCGGTTTCCCTTGCTGCTTCTTGCACATCACCACCATTAACAATCTGAAATGTGGTTATCTCATGTTAATTATCCACCTCGTGAATATATATATATAACCATGTGTGCAACAACAATTCAACATCGATGACCTGCATAACATAATATTCAACATATACATGCCAAACTAATCGATGTATGATAACAATCTCAGATTTATTTAAAAAGAAACTATTGTGCTGGATATTTTCATTCTTTTAGATTTTAATAGCGAAATACTTCAGTAAATTTTAGGGAAAAGTAACTAGTAATCCTTTAATCTAGGGATTTAATCAAAGACAAGGAAACAAAAATAATCTTCCTTCTAGTTTGAAGAAAATGAGTTTTGGTGACAGAAAAATAAAGCAACATGTTAAATTATTAAAAAGATTCTGGCAGATAAGGAAACTTCTAGCTAAGGTAATAAATAGAGTCATGACCTTCACATTGTCCCCGATCCGAGCATTCTTGTCGATTATTGCTCTCTTGATATGAGAATTCTTGCCAATGCCGATAGGAACACTTCCCTTTGCAGCCAGAAACCTCCTGTCAGCATCAGTCTGAAGCAAGACAATTTAGAAAAACACAATCATTACCAATGAAAATTAAAACAAAAAGAGATGATCACTTCAGCCATTTCAATGCCTGCAAGCAAAGAAGAAACACTAGACAGTAACTGATAATTCTCCCGGGCTATTACCTCATAATAATCTGCTCCCATTAATAATGTGTCTTCTATGATCGCACCTTCTGATATGCAAGAACGAAGACCAATCACAGAGTGGTGGATTTTACAATTCTGAAAAGGACAAACAAAAGTGAGTTAAGTGAACTCCTTTGAATATCCACAATAGCTGCCACAAGATATAAATACAAATTCAGCATCATGAATAACGCAGAGGAATTATTATTCATTACTCTTGGTATATGCTCCCTCACCTCACATTAATGTCACCTCACATTAATGTGGGGTCTACGAGTAATTTTCCATATGGGAACTGCATTAAAGTGAGAGGGAAAGAGTATGGACCAAGAATATTGAATAATCTTTGAAAGGACCAAATTGTTAATTCCTCAAGAGTATAATACAATGAATGATCAACAACTTGTTGGCCTCACTAACCAGGAACATACCTTTATAACACAACCCTCACCAATAACACTATCTGTGACATCAGCATCAAGCATCTTGGATGGAGGCAAATAGCGAGGTTGAGTGTAGATTGGAGATGAACGGTCATAGAAGCTGCAAAAGGAAGTCCGAAAGAGGCATATGAAATTACAATCAAGGTTATAGCATAGAAACGATTGCTGGACTGGAATTAGAACTACCTGAAATCTGGCACTGGCTTTTTAGTTATCCCAAGATTTGCATTATAAAATGCCTCAATGGTACCAATATCTTCCCAGTAGCCATCATATAAATAAGCTTGTACCTGTTAAGATGTGGAGCTTAGTGAATACTTTAAGACTGTGAAAGCAGGAAAGAGACAACTTGGATGCTGGAAAATGCAGCAAATCATAGTCCATCAATTTGTAATGGAAAGACACAATCTCATGCATCTAACCCATATGCTAAAAGACCTTTTATCTCCTTCGTTAAAAAAAAAAAAAAAAAAAAAAAAAAAAAAAAAAAAGGAAGAAGCCACAAGTTGCTCATGTGGGAAGCACCATAATGGCTTCAACATAGGTGTAAAAGTGCATACTCCATTAAGATTCATTGATAATACAATACTTTATAATATTTACATATATAGTGCAAGAAGAACCAGTTCTACCTGAAAGTGATATACAAGAGGAGTATATAGAAAGCAAATTGAACAAACAGATACTCACTCTCATTCCAATAGAAGTAGCACCAGGAATAACTTCACTTCCAAAATCATTTGCTCCAGGAAACTTTTCTCTCAGCAGATCCATCATCACATTCTTGCTGACAACATATATTCCCATACTAGCAATATAAGGCATCTCTTTCGCTCTCTCATCATCAAGACCTAAAATAGTCGTGTCAACCTAGAAGAAAATAAAAAGTAGAAGATAAAAATCATCTTCCATTACTGACCGAAGATAGAACTACAAAAATGAAGCACATATTGATAAACAAATAAATTATCAGTCCAAATTTTGAGAAGGTCTACCTTCATAGCTTTCAATTGTTCTCCTTTGGGTTTCTCGGCAAATTCAATTATGCGCCCTTCTTCATCAATTTTCATCAAACCAAATGCAGTTGCACGTTTTTCATCCATTGGCAGTGCAGCTACGGTGATATCTGCATCAGTTTCCCTGTGAGCTTGGATAAATCTCTCATAATCCATTCGGTACAAATGATCACCAGCAAGAACTAGGAATTCCAAAATATTGTGTTCCTCAAACAACCACAAATACTGTCTGACCGCATCTGCTGTGCCCTGTAGATCATTACATCGAAATTCCATGAGATAAAACCTACGCAAACCATCAAAAAAAGACTAGAAAGCAAATTGGTTATGAAGTTATCGTTCAAAACAATACGAAAACAAAATCTTTTGAAAACCAATCAATAATGCTACGTCAGTCATCTAAAAACAACTATCTAGTTTAATGATTCTTAACAAGAGCGAAATCATGTCCAAGGGCATAGGATGAAGGCTTTGTAATAATTACCTGGAACCAATTGGGGTTCTCTGGACTCTGCTGAGCTGCAAGAACTTCAACAAAACCTTCATTCTTGTAACCCCCCATGTTGCTCGCATAAGCCCGTGAAAGGTGACGGTTGAGAGATGCAGAGTTGAATTGTGTGAGAACATAAATCTTCGATACGTTACTGTTCAAACAATTGCTCACAGGAATATCAATCAGCCTGTAGTTAGCTCCTAAAGGAACAGCAGGCTTTGCCCTCTTCTTAGTAAGTGGGTAAAGGCGAGTCCCAGCTCCTCCTCCAAGAATAATTCCAAGAACACTCTGCGATAAACCATATCGCGTTATTCAATCAAACTACGAACGTCATCAGGCACAGATTATACCACATTCTCAGTAAATCTCGAATAAACAATTATACAATCATCTATCATTTATTTTTTCTAATCATAATTATAATCTAAATGAAGAAAGTTGGATCCAAAACACAAAATACTAATTTAATAACCTAAATATAATAATAATAATAATAATACGAGGAGAAGAAAACTAACTCTGCTGGCATCAGGGTCAAGACAAGTTTGAGCGTTCCTGGAATCGGAAACCGCCTTAGGAGAAACGACCATTGGAGTTCTCTCATTACGAGCAGTTTCCCGGCGACCGGTAAGTGCTGTAGAGTGAACCTTCTCACCGGAAAGGTTGGAAGACGAGAAGGACAAACTCCTGAAAGCAGTTCTCCGGCTCGAATTCGACGAAGAAGAAGATGAAGTTGAAGACGACGATGAGGATGGTAGCCTCATGACTCCGATCGCCGCCACACTCGCCATTTCTGTTAGTATTGCAGTATAGCTAGCTACGATCACTCCTTCTGGAGTCTGTTTTTGTAGTCCAGTACAGCCAGAGTCAGATGAGGACTCTTTGTTATTTCTTTTAATTTTTCATTTTTGATGGGTCCTCGGGGACTGGCCCATTCTTTTTGCATGAATTTACGGGTTTCTTTAGCGTGATTGGGCGGGGACGGTAGTCCATGAAGGATATTTTGGGGAAATCATTTGTTTATGATATGTAATAGGACTATATTGGGCATTGATCGGGTGAAAAAGATCTGCATATTGTGTCATACTCCAATTATTTTCGTGGCTGTCATTTCAGGATTGGATGATTGGACAGCAGTCACATGGGCCTTGCCTTTTTTTTATTTTCCCTTAATTTTACTGAATCAGTGGACGATTGAGCACCGTCCCTCTTTTTTATTATTTTTCTTATTTTAGTATTTTTATTATATTATATAGTATTTACTTTGTTTTGAAGGATAATATTTTAACACATAGTTTAAAATATTTATTAACTATGTCATATCAGTTTTTTTAACAATATTTTTAAAAATATATATAATTTTTTCAATTTAACTCTGCATTGTAAAATATGGATATTTAAAAAAATACAATATGAAAAATTTTAACCAAACAAATATTTTGAGACAAATATAAATAAATTTTTTTTTATTCAAAAACAAAGATGTTTTTGGGCTAGCTTTTACATATATCGAGATTAATTTCTTTCTAAGTGTGGTTAAGGGACATTACCAACGCATGATCTCAATTATTTTAATAATAAATTTTTAAGAATATTGACTATAAAAATCGAATTATATATCCATTTTATCAATAAATTGCCACCTTAAAAGAAATACGAGGAGTATATAAATAGTATTTTGTTTATTCAACTGAGAGGCAAACCTTCGAAAAAAATAATACATGTTATATCTTCAAAGAATTATAATTTCACACATATCTTCTACCAATAAACTAATACATCATAAATTAAAAAAAAAAAAACATTTAAAACTATAAGTAATTTTTAGTGAAAAAAATAGGTATGAGAAGCAAATTAATTTACGGTAAGATTGGTTTTTCTATAAATATAAATAATTTATATTTTTCATGGTTTTTGAACGATAACATAAATGACATTTGGCAACTGGTTATAACTCCATCATTATTATCTTGAAAAACCACTAATTGAATAATCAATTTAAAATGATTCCAAACACCACCTGATATTTTTCAATTATGTACCTTTAAGTGTGATTTAATTGATTGCCTTGTCATTTTGTAACCATGTGATCTTTTATGGGCTAGAGCATCATTCCCAGCATCATCGCCTTGGTAATTTTGCGTGGCTTATGGACTCCTTTTTACATTTCACTCGTCAAAATTAAAGTAAATTAGAATCAGGTAGCATTTTCTCGAAAAAATAAATTATTTTTTTAATATTTAATTGTATCATGAAACACGAAATATAAATTTATTTTTCTAATGGTATCGTAGAAATTAAACTGGAAAACGGCATTTTCGAATTATTAAGTTTTTTTTTCAAATGGTATTAACACATTTTCGGTGTTTGATTAATATTGAAATAACTTTTGTATATAGCATCCTATTTTTAAATGTATCATTTCATATATACATATGTAATAATTTATTATTTTATAAACTATACTATTATACAGTTGAAGTATTATTATTATTAAAAAGAATAATGAAATTACGTACTACTTTAATTTTAAATCCTTCATGAAAAGTGTTTTTTCCTTTTTAAATCGAAAAACGCTATCATTCCCTAAAGCTTAGTTCTTTCTGTAATTTCAGTTTTTTAAAATGTAGTCAAACATAATAAATAAATAAATAACAGGAAAGAATTTTTCAACGAACGAAAGCTGAGAAATCTATTTTAATTTTTTAGAAATAAAAGCTATCTTTCTACTCTGAGGCCTATAGGATTTGTTACGGGCTAAGAATGGTCGTGCCAGGGTCAAAAGACCACCAATTGAATTGGATTATCTTAAAGAGAGAAAAGAAAGACTTGTTTTTTTTCCTAAATAAGAATATTTTTATTTTATTTTTCTAAAATAAGGTAGTTTAAGACTTATTTACCAAATTATAACATTTTATATAACCTCCACATCAACGCTCTATGTAACCGTAAAAAAAAAAAAAAAAAAGATTTGAGCTTGCTTACCAAAAATAAAATCCATGTCTTTTTTTCTCTCTTCTAATTAATACTATTTAATTAAAATCTCAAATTAATATAAATTTATCAGGCAAATAATTGCTCATAAGAATAGTGAATTACATTTTATTCCATCACCTGCTAATTAATTAACTTGATTTTTTGTTTTATGTTTAGAATCATGAAACCTAATTTGACGTTTTTTTTTTTTTTTTTAAGATATTATGAAGACCTACTTGAATAACCTTGGGCTACACCAATTGCATATGCTGAAAGCCAAAGTTAATGGTGATTTAAACAAGACTTTTTCTCTAAAGTTTTATTTTTTTCCTTTCATTTTTTTTGTTTGTTTGTTTTTTTTTGGGAAAAAACCAAGTTATGATGAATGTTCCTTCAATATAAAATTTATGTGTGGAGAAATATGGATGTTGATGGGTACTTGCCACTTAGATATGCACAAATATATTATCAAAGGACCATTTTTAAACAAAAGGGTTTTTCACAGGCCGACATTATAGATAATTATAATTCATGGTGTGTGTATATATATATATATATATATATATATATATCCCATCAATGGTCATTCAATTGATGAATTTAATAATTCACGGGAAAAATTAAAAATTGTCCGTAAATATAGCATAAAAAAGCGGCTTGTTTTTTTATCTATTGCAAAAAGATATAGTTCACCAAAATTCTTGATTTGTTTTAGAATGAAAGGCCTTAATTAGTAGTTTAGAACCCTAAGCGTTAATGGGGTGTGTATATATATATTGATTTAGGATATATTGCATTGTTTTTAAAAGTTCCCGTCCAATTACATCAATTTATACATTTATTTTTATTAATTGCTAACTTTTTTTAACAAAAAAAAAATTACTTATATAAGAAAAAATGGCATGGATAAATAAATCCCACGTGACATAAAATATCTTTATATAAAAAACAATTTTAAAACTACCTTGTTTTTGATAAAAATAAAATAAAAATATGATAGTTTGAAAGTACACTTAAAGAAAGATTTATTTATATTAGTTAGTACTAAATTATTTGCTTTCCAAGACAAAATTTTACTAAACTTCCGTCTCTATAAGCATATCCATATATCATTAATAAAACTATTATGCATTTATTAAAAAAACCTATAAAGGGCACCAATATATGCTACGAAAATTTAAGAAAAGCAAACAAAGGGCGAAGTTTCTACCATTTTTTTCGATCCAATGCTTCTAAAACGGAAAGTGTTTCGGCTGATATTTTACGGAACAACGGATGAAAAGGCATCCAAATTTGAGAAAAAACTCTGCACGAAAGATTAGTATATGTTGTGGGTTGTGACATAATAGATATAATTTTTAACAAACAAATACTATTTTCTTCTTCTCGCGATTAAGGTATTTTCAGGCAGCTTTCATTTATTTAGACAAATTTCTCTCCATCGGAATTTGAGCAAACCATGCACACAAAATTTCATTCAATCAATCTTTTTTATAAATTTGAACCTGAAATGACGACAAACTTTGGAAGCTTTATGACTAGAAACCTAAAAGAAGTGGAAATCCAAGGAATGCATTTGGATTTTGGAGGGCTGGATGGGCGAAAAGACCCACTGGGCTTACCTAGAATTAGATGATTGCACTATCTGAATATGTGTTCTATTGAAAATGGGCATTTTGTTTATTTGAGCCCTTTCTGATTGATTGTGCGGCCTAACCCAACATTTATAAATCAAGCAATCACCTTCTTTGAGAATAAGTACAAACTTTATGCTTGGCTAAAACTCTAACTGATGAGAAGAAGAAGAAGAAGAAGAAGAAGAAAGGGTGTTTAATTTTTGTAACAATTACTTGATATATTTAGACGATTCTCTCTAAGTCTATAGTTTGTCCACGAATATGACAATCACTGCCATGAATATGCATTTTTTAATCATTGCCAACAAAGAAATTAGTTCTAATCATTCAAAAGAAACCATCATTAAGGGAAAAAAAAACCAAAAGTAATTTGTCTTACTATTCCATTTACGGAACCAGCAATCATGAGGAATATGTTGGCAACTCAAAACTGCACCATAATTGTGATTGTAAGTCCACCAGTTTTACTGTTTCACAAAGCAAAACCACCATTTATTAAAAACTTAGAGTTAACTATAAAAACATCCTTGACACATATGTTCATTAAAAGTATTATCCTTGTCTAATCAACTGAATCAATTTTACTACTAAGACTATCTAATGATTTTAGTATTGTCCTTAATTTCATCTATATAATGTTTAGTAATCATTTTCTTTTAAAAGAACCCATGGTAGGCACAAAAACTTCTATCACAAGAAGTTTATTAGTAGAATCACTTAATAAAAACAAAAATTAGAACAAAAATGGGAATCAAATAATACTAACTTTTTTTAAAAGGTATGGGAATAGGAGCGGATCGATCCAAAAATATTTATGAGTGAAAGCAAATTTACTATTAGCTATTCAAAAAATTAATATATACATATGTGTGTTTATATATAAATCAGATTCTTCAAAGAAAGAAGAAAATTCAAATTAGTAAAGGTAAGTTAAGGGCTTAAAATAATCAAAGATATATACACACCCGCAGCTTTTACTTTTTCTTAAGAACAAGTAATTTTGGGAGATTAATTAATACCATTTGGTCGGATCATTTTTTGCATTTAATTAAATTTATGAGGGAAAATGAACCAAAATAACAAGTTATGGGGGCAAATGTAACCAAAAGAACAAATTGTGAGAGCAAACTGAACATGTACTAAATAATTCTTCATATTTCGCATGCTTCATTTAATCA